CTAAAAGCATGGAGGGGAGGAACTCTACCAAACCTGGGCTCAGTTAGAAATGGGTCCAAGTCCTGGTGTCCTTGGACAAGTCACTTCACCTTGACTGAGTCTTTTTAGCATCTGTGAAATGGGATAGTTACCTTCCACATAGGGCTTCTGTGCCATCCAATTGAAATAAGTGTGAGAACATGCTGGATAAACTACAAAGTGCTCATCCTGATCCCCGCTGTGTTCGAGTGGTGATTGAAAGGAGGCAAGAAGTTTCATATGCACAAGTATCTGGAGCATGATTGAGGAAGCTGGGGCCAGCTCTGAATTTAGAACAGGCTGTCCACAGTCCCAGCCCCCGAGGAGCAAGGAGAGCCCTAGAAGCTGGGGGATGGGGGAAGAAGAGCAGGGCCTGGAGAAGGGGAGGATGATTATGTCTTCGTGGTTTATTGTTACTATTTTGCATTTCATAGGATTCACGTTTTCAGATTAGGATTCCCAAATCTCTTTCTAGCCACGGGAAGCCTGTGGTGTAGATTGCAGGGAGGTGGGAGAGTAGACATAGGGGTGAGGGCCTGGTCCTTGAAGGTGGGGGAGGGCCTGGAGGAGCTGGGAAGTAGTGGGTTTGGCAGGAGAGGGGGTGACATATGTGGGGAGCCCTGGGGACCCAACCAGGCAAGCGGCTGGCAGAGAGAGCAGACAATGTTAACCCTTGCTGTGCCACACTGTCTGACCCTTCCAGGGAGTACTGGTGGCCAGGGTGATATTTTCCAAAACACTGGCAAGGTTTGGGGTCATGGGACCAAGGTAAGAAAGAGAGCTGTTGTGTTTTTGAGAAGTGGCAGCAACATCTCGGCAAATCGTCATCAAGGAGTTTCTCTCCTTGTGTTTTCACATGGTCTCTGTCAGTCTGTCTTTCTCTGTCTCCACTTTCGTGCCTCTAGAAGGTGACAGCGGGTCTCCACTCTAGCTAACTACACAATCTGTCACTCTCTTTGCTGCCAGCCTGGCTGGAAGCCCCCCTTCCCAGTGCCCAGCCCCTGAGCCCTCTGCCCCTGGCCCCCTAGGCCTTATTGCCTTTGTCTCCTAAGGCTGCCTCTCCTTTCTTCTTCCTCTCCACTCACCTCTCCTCAGCTCAGAGCCCATCTCCAATCTCATTACAGCCTCAGCCTCCAACCACTGTACCACCCCCACCCCCAGCCTCTTCTCTTCCCTCCCCCATCCATCTGTCTTCCCCGAAGCTCTCCTCTTTGTGTCCACCCATCTGTCACCACCAGCACTGGGCCTACTCCCCTCCTGGCCACACCCGCCTGGCCTTTCTCCCCTCCTGCTCAGCTCCCCTTTGCCTCTCTCCTCTTTTAGCCCTACTAGGAATCTTATATCCTCTGCTTCTTTTCACAAGTTTGCTTTGTCTGGATACTCTCTTACCTCAGTTTTTTTCTTCTGTCCCTCTAATTTCTCCAACCCCATCTCAGTTGTGAGTTGAGGGAGAGTGGGGACTCCAGGGTCCTAACCCCCAGCCCCTGAGCAACCACCAAGCCAGTGGAGGCTGGCAATGTTTGCTCACAGTTGCATCATCTCGGGTCCATGGCTTTTCCTTAGGCCCCCTGAGATGACCCTTTGCTCCTGCTCCTAGTTTCCCTGTTTGGGCTCAGGAGCTACTGCTGTCCTTCTACACTACTGGAGTGTAGAGCTCCTATACCTTCTGACTTGGAATTCAGGAAGGAATACATATCTATCCTGAGACCCATTGGGGCCCTGAACTTCTAAGGGCCTTCTGCTTCCGCAGCTCAACTCCAGCCACCCTGCCAATCTTCTATTTTGGAGAATGAGATATTGAGTGACACGCTCTCCTTTAAATCCTGTTAGGCCACAGTTTCCAAAATCCATACTATCCCTGGACTGGGAAACAATGGCATCCCTCATGGGTCTTTCCCCAGAGTTGACCCTAGCACTACCTTTGAGAATTCATTAATTGATTAGCCTTTCAAATGGCTCTTGCCCTGAGGAGTTTAGGGGAAAAGCAAGAGTTGGATACATCACCAGCTGTACTTCCCAGAACCAAATTGACAGAGCCAGGTAGACAGCATAGAGCAGCTCCTTATTTACACCCACATTTTATAGGACCCAGCAATGGGAAATACCCTTCCCAAGGTTATACAGCATGTGAAGCCGACCAGAAAATCTGGTCCTGAACTTTTCCCACAAACTTGAGGCTCCTCCTTACTGGCCCATTGCCTGAAGCAAATCAAATCCTCTGGTCTCTGAGCTCAGAGAACCTGTTTAGGGCACTGATCTTGCACGGAGCATTCTAGCCTTGCCTATTTGAGTTCCAGAACTATATAACTTCCTGCCATCTAGACTCTGGATCTGGAGACTCAAAGGAAAAGTAACATATCTCTTAGCCTGTTGGGTTTTTTTTTTTTTTGTTTTGTTTTTTGTTTGTTTTTTGGTTGTGGAGGATGAATTCTGGGCCTGGCCCTGTCCCTTGGCTCTTCAGCTCAAGGCTAGCACCCTACCACTTGAGCCAGAGTGCCACTTCGTTTCTTCTGCTTATGTGGTACTGAGGAATTGAACCCAGGGCCTCATGCATGCAAAGGCAAGCACTCTACCACTGAGCCAACTCTCTTAGCTTTTTATTATGCCAGTACAGAATGCTTTGCCTGTAGCCATGTTCAATAAATGTTTATTACTATCGTGGCTGTCTGTAGATATAAAGCATGTTCTAGTCTTAGCTCTGTCTCTAATTTGCTGTGTGACACAGAACAAGTCATATCACTCCTCTGGGCTGGTTTTCCCCATCTATCCAAATGAATTAAAATGTGGGACATGATGACTCATGCCTATAAACTAGTACTTCGGAGGCTGAAGTAGGATCATGAATTTTGAGATTCCTGTTTCAAAAAGAGGAACAAAAATAGCCCATATACATAACTTTTTTTTTTTTTTTTTGGTCAGTCGTGGGACTTGAACTCTGGGCCTGGGTACTGTCCCTCAGCTCTTCAGCTCAAGGCTAGTGCTCTACCACTTGAGCCACAGCACCATTTCTGGTTTTCTGGCAGTTTATTGGAGATAAAAGTCTCATGGATTTTCCTGCCTGGGCTGGCTTTGAGCCACTATCCTCAGATCTCAGCCTCCTGAGTAGCTAGGACTACAGGTGTGAGCTACTGACGTCCAGCTCACATACATCACTTCTGAGATTGTATTGCATTCCTTTAAAGAAACAAAGCTGTTCTGAATAAATACCAATCTCTAGATTGAAAAAAAAATCTCCTCCTAGGCTGTGCCTTTGGGAGCAGTGGCCCAGATGTTGGAAAAACAGTAAGCCCCTTTAATTCAAATAGGCTGAGGATAGATACTAGCCTGTGCGTTAAGAAGCCAGGTGTCACAACAGGTAGACAGACTGGGTCCTGCATGAATTAAAATGAAGAGGAATGCTGTGAAGTAGCAAAGGGAGTAGTGGGAAGGGGAACTCTTAGGGAAGGAAAAGGGGCTGGGAAATGATTTTAGAAGGCACAGGGTGAACAGGGACTACACTAGTGGGGAGCAGGAAGTTAATTGATAAGCATGTAGCCCCTAAAATGCTTCTAGCCCATTACAGTCTTCAGCTATCTGGTGAAGAGCTAGTCCCATGGAGAGGGAGTGTTGGGGAGACTAAGTGGGTTATCTGGGTGGCTTTGTGCTCTCCCATAGACCTGGCCTCTCTAAGTGCCATGGAAAGGGCTGGGCTTTTTTTTTTGGTCGGGGGAGATGCTGTAGGTCAAGGGAGCACAGAAGGAACATGATGAACTGTGTTCTGGTTCTTACCTAGGCACAGAAATTGGGTACATCTTAACCCCTTCTTTCTTACCCACCCCAATCCTGATTCAGTCCAAGCCTCTGCTTCCCTGTTCAGCCCTCTCCCTGGTACCCAGCCACATCCCCGCTTCTCAAAGCTGCCAGCAGGATGAGGGAGTTTACTGCTTTGCCCGCTGGGAGACCTGTTGGCCGAGGGAGGCATGGAGCTGGCCCAGACTATGGTGGCAGCTGTGTTCAACTCCCGCCAGCACAGCATACAGCTCCTCCAGCTCCAACAGGGGGCCAGAGGGAGCTTCAGGGCATATTTCCTATCTCAGAACCCCAAACCTGCTCCCTCAAGGGAGCCTGGACAGAAACGTGGAGAAAAATCATCTCCTCTCAGCTCAGTGACCTAAGAGATATGTTTGGGACCGGTGAAAACACTGCTAGTCTTCAGGCATGTGTCAGAAGCACCTTCTTGGCCAACAGTGAGGAGAGGCTGGGTTTGGTCTTCCACTCCTGCTGCTTCTCTTTCCCCATCAGCTGACTCAGCTGTTACCCACAGCCATTTAGCAGTTAGTTGTGTTTCATCCACAATTTTGCCTCCATGAAGATTTAGGAAATTCAGGTTTCTGAAGAGCCGTGGTTCTTCTGAGGCAGGCAGACCTAAGCAACTCTTGGTCTACAAAATGTCCAATATAACAGAGGGTCTAAAACTCTTCAGCATGTCACCCAAGAACCTTCTGGTGTGACTCACCTCACCACCTCCTGACCCAGCTACACTGAGTAATTTCCTACTTCCAAAACAGGACTTGTGCCTTTATTAAACTGTACTACATCTGGTAAACTCCTTAAATTTTATCTCAATGTCACCTACACTGCCTTGAATGCTATCACATACTACTGGAGCACTCTGGATATTCTGCAAATTCCACTTGTTATTCTGGATTTACACCTAATGATAAAATGTTTTTTCCTTCATTCCAACTGTGAACTACTCAGGGTTGTACTTGCTTCATCTCTGTACCCCAGCCAATGTCTTGAAATGAATAAAGAAATATCTTTCATTACAAGGTGAGAAGAAGCTGTATTAACATTACTCTCACAAGAAGGGCTCTAGGGTTTGGCAGAAAGCCATTATTTTAGGGCTGTTTGAAAGGGCCTTACTTCTGGGGTCTTTGGAGACCAAGAAGCTAGCATGCAAGGTCATTGATCATGGTTGTATGGAAGAATAACAGTACAAGTCATATGGGATAATTTTAATGAGACTTCGTATTTATGTTTTTACAAAAAAAAAAAAGAACAAGAAAAAAACCCAACGAAAATAGATATTACACCTTAAAAAAAAGTACAACTGAGCATGGTGGGATACCCACCAGGCAGCATGCCCACCATAATGTGCCATCTGACAACCCGGAGAAAGGACAGTACAAAGGAGACACAAGGCTCCTCCTCAGAGGTTCCATGTAGTACGAGCCTTATGCTAAATTCGCACGTTCTTCTTCCTGATCCAGTAGGTGGTTGGGTAAGAGGGGCTAAGAGTAGGGACAACAGTGGGAGCAGAGGTCCAAGAGCAGGGTAGAAAGAAAGATAAGAGACATCCTGTGGAAGGGCAAGCGAGGGGGGGCAACTTGGGAGTTAAACAGGAGCAGGAAGCTCCTATCATAATCCCAGGATATTGCAGGGGTTAGGGTGGGGGAGGCTGAGGAGAAGAGGTAACTTGTTTACCTCTCCCTGTCTCTTCTGGACAGTTCCACTTCTTTATGCTAAGCTCTGTCTGAGACAGGCCCAGAGAGATTCCAGTGACAACCTAGTGATGTGTTCCCAGTGAAGTGCAGTGCTGGCAGGGAGAGCTGGAGTCCTTAGTAAGACACAGCTCCAGGCTCTCGGGGAACAATGAAAAGGACTTCAGCTTTGGCATTGATGCAGTAGGTGACGATGAGAGAGAAGATGAGGATGCCAAAACCCACCATCAGGGTGATAAACTGTAAGGGAGAAGGGTGTGGTCAAGGAAGGAGAAAGGCTCTCAGAACTCAGTGCAGTTTTGGACAATGGGGTCAGAAGACAGGACAGTGGAATTCTGGTGCTGGCTTCAAGCACCAAGTATAGAACAATCATGGGCAACAGCTTCCCAAAAATTTGCATATTTAATTCTCTTCATTTGAGAAGGGAAGTTTGTTCTTGAATTACTTAGATTTTAAGTATCTCAAAGGTAGGACCTGTAGCTCTGATTCTCTCATGGGACTTTTATTACTTATGATGGGGCTCAATATATCTTAGACTGATTCATTCCAGCTGTGCCAGATGGGGAATGCCAGGTGAGATGAGAGCATGGAAGAGCTTCTGGCATTCCAAAGGTTTTAAAAAATGAATTATACTCAAACTACCAGTAGAGAGGCCTTCTAATGGGATATACTGGTGGGCTAGGATAGGTTTGCAGTAGGTTCTGCTGCAAATCTGGGGCAAATGGGATATGGACCAGGGTATGAACTAAGAAATAACTCAAAATCATTGGAAAGACTCTGCTACTTCCCTTCTGGCCCCATCTCACTCACCTCAAGCTCTTTGCTGGCAATTAGGAATATCCGAGCACGGATATCTTTCCAGCGGCTTTCAGTCCATGTAGAGTATTCAGTGGAGCTCCACTGACTCAGTTCGAAGGCGGGGGACAAGGCCCTGGCAAGTCGTGCCGTGGAACGCACACACCGTGGGAGTCGCTCTGTCTCATTGGAATTCAAAGGGCCCTGCACCCATGAGTACTCATACAGCTGCACAGGAAGATGAGCCACACACAGGCTGAGGTAATTCTCTTCTTACTTGTTCTTTTTACCCAATCAGCACCACATTTGGACCAACTATTAACTGGCTGCTATCCCATTATTTTGTGTAGGTGGTCCAATTTCACCCAGCTATTGCTTCTTCAACACTTGAATTTACTGGTCTGTTCCCCTCCACCAATCTCCATCCCAATCCCCTGAGTCCACATGGACCTAGAAGATCCTCCAGTTCTCCCAAGGGAAAGAGGCCCCAGAGGACCTCCAACACCCACCACCACTCACATCCTTGTTTTCATTTGGGACTTTACTTGGATCCTGGCACTGCTCTCGGGTGAGGTTGGTCACCTTGCCAGTCAAATTTGCCAAGGCATACTGCACAACATAAGTGGTGTTGGTGGGGCTGGAGACGGCAATGTAATGTTGAAGAGGCCCATCACCTGATCATAGGCCAGAGGGGAGTGAGGATTGGGTGGGTGGAAGGTGGGGTGAGGCAGGCAGAAATAGGAAGAGCCCAAGATTGATAGAAGCCAGAGAAAGAAGGTTAAGAGAAAAGGATCCAATATCAGGAGAAAGGAACACAGGAGAAAGAAAATAGAAGAAAAAAAAAAAAAAGAGCAAAGAATTAAACCAAAATGATGCCTATTATTCTATACATTTGCTCAACTATGGATCACCCTTTTCATACCATATGCTTACCCAGGTAGGACCTTAGGTCCTGTCTGAGGATAGACTGGAACCATGAGTTGTTGGCTCTAACCAGGAACCCATAAAGGAGGCGAGTGACCTAGGGTTGGAACAGCAAGTTGACAAAATGCTGTGATTTTCAGCAAGGCCAGGGAAACAATTAGTGGGCACAAGTTATGGAGCAGGAACCAAAGTAGGATTGGAAGATAGGGACCACCTGTAAGGATGTAGATGTGGCCCACCTAAGAGCTCTCTGAGGCATCATCCTTGTTAGTGTGAAGAGGCATGCTGAGTTCGAAAGTTTGGGAAGTGAGGTAAAGGACATAAGAGGTTGGGGACAGCATGCTGTGTAAAACAAGAGAGGAAGGACCAAAGGCCCATCTGTTCTTACAGTCTTGGGATCAGCCTGAATTGTGTGGCTGTAGTTAGTTCCTCCTGCGAGCTCATAGAGTGCACGTCCCAGCACTGTAGCCACATTCGCCAGGGCCTGTGGTAGGTAAGGAGAGGAGCTAAATGGCTCATCTTGTCCATCCTCAATGACTTAATTCTAACCATTTTTACGGTGTTCCCCATGCTCCCATCCAACCTGTGTCACTGTTACCTTAGCAGTGTCTGTCACAAAGTTCAGGTCCTCTTCAGGGCTGTGCATCTCAGGATAGGTCACATTAATGTTCTCAGCTGTGTCATAAATGCTCTCATAATAGCTGCCAAAAAAGTTAGCATGAGTCCTGGCTATGTCCAGCCAGCGCCTTGCCCTTTACTACTTAAAGGCTCCATTAATAGGAACTTGGTACATTATTTTTCATAACCCAGAGGAAAGAAAAAAGAGAAAATTAGGCTCTGTTATCAAAAAAGGCATCGATAAAGAGGAGATAGGAAGGGATAGGTGGCTAGAGAAATACAAAGACTTTCCTGAAAAACAAGGTAGAAAAGGTTAAGTAAGGGCTAGGAAGGTGGCTCAGTGGTAGAGTGCTTGCCTTGCATGCCTGAGGCCCTGGATTCGATTCCTCAGCACCACATAAGCAAAAAGAAAAAAGCCAGAAGTGGCGCTGTGGCTCAAGTGGTAGAGCGCTAGCCTTGAGCTGAAGAGCTGACGGACAGCGCCCAGGCCCAGAGTTCAGGCCCCACGACCGGACCCAAAAAAAAGAAAAAAAAAAAGGAAAAGGTTAAGTAAGCACAGGAGGCTTTTCTAATCATGTGATCATGTGGGCTAGAGAGACAAGAGGGTGGCTAAAAGCCTTCTCAGAATCAGAGTAACTGTATGTTCCAACTAACATTTACAGTGATGGGGCCTCAGAGTAGAGGGAAAATTAGCAGGTATTAGGATTATGTATGCTCAGAGATAGATATAGATATTTTTTTTGGTGGGAGTTTTTTTGTTTTTTTTTTGGTTGGTCGTGAGGTTTGAATTCTGGGCCTTGGTGCGGTCCCTGAGCTCTTCAGCTCAAAGTGAGCACTCAACCACTTCAGCCACAGCATCACTTCCGGTTTTCTGGTGGTTAAGTGGAGATAAGTCTCATAGACTTTCCTGTTTGGGCTGGCTTTGAACCGTGATCCTCAGATCTTAGCCTCCTAAGTAGTTAGTATTACAGGTGTGAGCCACCACCTGGTTTGCTCAGGAACATTGGGTCAAGTCATTGTGATAGTCCTTGGGAACTCCAAGCTAAAAGAGTGCTCAGCATTTACAATGACTAAATCCTCAGCCCACACAGACTGAAATCCACACAATCAAATCCAAATCATGTTCAAATGATGAATCATGCCTCACCCTAAAGTAACACAGAAAAGATTTGAAGAGAGCAAACCTGAGGCTAGAACTGTCACTCCCCTAACTGGAATGAGAAGGGGGCTTAGGCTCTGGACAACTAGAGCTTCAGTATTTTTACTCAGAAACTTATTTGGCTCAAAAAGTAGCAATCTATGGGCTGGGAAGGTGGCTCAGTCATAGAGCACTTGCCTTGCATCCTTGAGGCCCTGGGTTCCTCAGTACCACATAAGCAGAAAAAAAAAAAAAAGCCAGAAGTAGCGTTGTGGCTCAAGTGGTAGAGTGCTAGCCTGAGGGACAGTGCCCAGGCCCAGAGTTCAGGCCCCACGATTGGACCCCCCCCTCCAAAAAAAAAAAAAAAAGCAATCTAGCCTGAGTGAAAAGTCCTGTTCTCCTAGGCCATAATTTAGAAACAGTTCAACCAAGAAAAGAGATAACTAATAGCACTTCATTTTTTTCTTCGGAGCCCTCTCAGTACACTGAACCATGTGTGTCCACCACAGGATAAGAACCTTTACAATGTTACAGTTCACAAAGTATGAGTACCCTTAAATAGACCTGAGAGACCACTGTCATCCTCCATCTAAAGAATACCCCATCTTTCCTAAACTCTCAAAAGGATGCCCTCTGCTGGCAGCCCTAGGGAACTCAGGCCCCAGGGAAATGGGAGAAAGAGGAATCACAAGAGAGGGGGACTGGAAGTGCTACAGTTGAAAATGGTTTTACTAATATAAAGAGCAAGTCAACAAGAGAACCATTCTCACACATTGAGAGTGACCAGTGACAGGTCACTGAGCAAAGAACCCAAACAGCCTAGAGGGGTTTTTGGGGGGTTGGGGAACAAGAAGCAGGGGTGGAATAAAAGTGCAACTTTCCCCTCAGACTTCAGAACAGTGACTTACCGGTTATGGAAGGACCTAGCATGATCAGCCAGAACAACACCAGAGATGTTTCGAGCTCGAAGAAATCGCTGTAGAGAAGATGGTGGAAGGGCCTGGGACTGATTCAGTTTCCTGAGGATGACATCAGGGACACCAGCACTACTCCTCTCCAGAGTGGCCAGGAGATCCTCAACCTGAGGGAGTGAAGGAGACTGACTACTGGGAAATAGGAAGCAGGAGGGTTCTCCCAGCCTTTAAGTGCTCTGTACTTCTTGCCCTATGCTCTTCTAGATCTATTTTCTTCAAAACTTTTGGGACCAGGGCTTTCGATTACCTATTGCTCCCATCATTATTTCTATAGTTAGGAAATTAGTATATAAAGAAGAAGCCCGTAGTTTTGTCTAGTTTTTTTTTTCCTTTTTTTTTTTTTTAAACTCTGTTGCCTTATTCTCAGTGGCCCTTTCACTTATTATCTGTTGTACAGAATTGGTGAGGGAAAATAATAATGAAAACTCCAATGCTGAATACTAGGTGGGTAACCAATTCTCTAGTGCTAAAGGAGTAGGGATGATAGCAAAGGTGAAGTGGCAGAAGAGCATTACATGAAGAGCAGCCATAAAGAATTACACCTGAAAAAAAGGGAGGGTCTTAAGTAAGCATTTGATAAGAAGGGAGATTCTTAAATAAGCAGTAAGGAAGTGGAGGTCAATTTGTGGGGTAGGGGACCTAACAAGATGGGAAGATTTCATCAGAGAGGCAAGGACTTACCCATCCTTAACGAGCAGTGTTACTATGCCAGGCATCAAATGATCAGAGAACTATCCATTTGAAAGAACACTGGGGTGTCATTGAGCTCATGATTCTCCCCAGCAAGCAGTAACAACTGTAGTATTTCATCCTTTAGCCAACACCCAACCTGATCCTTTCTCTTATCTGTTAGGTTACCTGGCTCTGCACAGACTCGTTTTTCTGAGACATTGGATCTGTGTGCATCCAGAGATCTAATGAAGATCTTAGGGCTACCTGTAAAGGATGAAGAGGAAATATTTACATAGTCAAGCTCCGGCTGTGGCCTGTTGAAAAGGAGTCAAAGAAGAGGTGGGTAGTGCTGGCAATAAGAACAACAGAACACTAGGGAAAAACTTTAGTTCAAAGGAAGAAGAGAGGCTAGGACTGCGGCTTAGTGGTAGAGTGCTTGCCTAGCATGCAGGAAGCCCTGGGTTCGATTCCTCAGTATCACAAACAGAAAAGGCTGGAAGTGGTGCTGTGGCTCAAGTGGTAGAGTGCTAGCTTTGAGCAAAAGCAGCTCAGGGACAGTGCCCAGGCCCTAAGTTCAAGCCCCAGGACTGGCCCAAAAGAAAAAAACAAAGGAAGGAGAGAAAGACACACACTACATACCTGTCCCAGCTCCACAAAATAGTCAATGTTTTCTAACCGCATGGGAAATTTGCCCTTCTCCATATCATACACCATTCGAGAGCTGCCAATGTAATCAAACGTTTCCTGAGGTGTGGAGTAGGAAAAGGAATAGAAACTTAAAGAATTAGGACAGCCTCAAGAAAAAGATCATCAAAGCTATAGGCAAGAAGGCTACTGTCTTGGGTCATCTGAACTGCTTGCCAGCTTACAGCCACATGACTCCCTCGTCCTTCCTACACCTCCCAGTAATGAAGATCCCTCACAGGTATCATAGGACACCTTGCGCCCAGAAATAGGGAAGTCAGACTTAGTAAAGACCCCAAGCAAACATCAGCTGTTATGTGTATTTCTTGACTCTCCCAAACCTCTACTAGCTCAGCTATGGGTGCCATTTGCTAATCTTAAGCCAGCAGGAATAAGCAGGATCTCTCAGGAGGCAGTAAAAGAACTCAAGACAAAAAATGTGAGGGCTACGAATGTGACTTAGTGGTAGAGTGCTTGCCTAGCATGCAAGAAGCCCTGGTTCAATTCCACATAAACAGAAAAAGCTGGAAGTGGCACTGTGGTATTAGCATTGAACAAAAGTAGCTCAGGGGCAGTGCCCAGAACCTGAGCTCAAGCACCAGGACTGGCAAAAAAAAAAAAAAAGGAGGCCTCAAAAAGAAGGTGGAGGTGGGAGAGGATAGATGCTGAAAGCCTATCAATTCAGTGAACAGCTTCCTAAAACAGAGGACTCCAAAAGGGAAACAAATATAGACATCCAAAAACTCTGCTACCTAACAACTTAGGTTAAGTGCTGAGGTCTTCCCCTTTACCATCCCCCTCCTTCCTGGCCAGCCCACTCAAAGTGAAGAACCCTCACCCCTTGAAAGAAGACAAACATGACATTGCGGGGCAGGGTGGTCGCATCGGGTGCCTTCTGCAAAGCTTCAGCTGCAGCCAACTGGGTAACGAAGGAGGCAACAGCACTTTCAGCCCCTGGGGCTACGTTCCAGAAAAAAGAACGGCTGTCCAACTAGGTACAACAACAAAAACGAAAGACAGGAGAGGTATACTTTAAAACTGGAAATTAGGACAAAGCCCATGTCCCCTCTCCTGCTCCAGCTAAGAGCATATATATTTGCTGGAACAATGGATAGAGCCCAGGACTACAACAGCCAGATCCCTCTCCATTTAAGGTCCTTGAGTACATTAACTCTGAAATCAGATACACCCAAGAGAGGCCTGCCAGCTCTTTCTGTGCCAGCTCTGCTAGTACTGTCAGCTTTTTCTATGCCAGCTCTGCTGGTATTGACCAGGGGCAACACTCACCCGGGTTGCTGCAACCACAACCCTGTCATCAGGCTCCAATGTCCCAGAAGTATTTATAGGCTTAAGCATGCTCCATACGTTGTAGTCTGACAGGGGGTCACAGACGATTTCTGAGCAGTACACAAATGAGATCAAATAGTGATAGGACTAAGGGAGAGGTAGCTATAAAGAAGGCCTGTGAGACCTCTCAAACTCAGTGCCTCATGGACTCTGAGGGTCATTATTTCTAACTCCAACTGTCCCAGACTATGTTCTCTGGTGACATCCACTTCAGTACAAGCTGTCTAAACTGTTCAAAACTGTAGGTGCTATTCCCACTCAGTGTTTCCACTGCCCAAGTCTGCACCAACCTCCCTGGCCCAGTACCCCTGCTCTCACCATAGTGCACCCAACACAGCTTGGACCCCCTTACCTGGGTTAATACTAAAGGTGCTCTGGATGAAGCTTCGTCGCATGCAGGTGGCAGTGCTGATAACTGCGTGCATGTGTGAGAAGAGCTGCATGGCACACAATGGGAAGTTGGGTGCTGAGCCATTCTCACTCAGGTTGTGATCTTGATAGCACTGGAAGGGAGATAGACCCCACTGAGAAGGCTAGTGTGGAATTCTTTTCTTCCCAGAAAACGGAAATCTCATCTCCATTTTTTTTAATTTTTAGTGCCAGTTCCAGGGCTTGAACTCAGGGTCTGGACAGTATCTCTGAGCTTTTTTGCTCAAGGTTAGTGCCCTACCATTTAAACCCAGATCCACAGTTTAGTGTCTAACTGGAGATAAGAATCTCAAGGACTTTCCTGCCTGGGCTGACTTCAAACCTCTATGCTCAGACCTCAGCCTCCAGAGTACATGGGATTCTAGGCAGGAGCCACTGGTGCCTGGTTTCCATCTCTATTCTTTCTTTCTTTCTTTTTTTTTTTCCTATTTTTTGAGGGGTCCAGTCGTGGAGCCTGAACTCTGGGCCTGGGCGCTGTCCCTCAGCTCTTCAGCTCAAGGCTAGCGCTCTACCACTTGAGCCACAGCGCCACTTCCGGCTTTTTTTCTTTTTGCTTATGTGGTGCTGAGGAATCGAACCCAGGGCCTCATGCATGCAAGGCAAGCGCTCTACCACTGAGCCACCTTCCCAGCCCTCCATCTCCATTCTTAAGCTACTCCCTTTGGGAGACATTTATCTAGGAGCTACAGGTGTCCTGGTATAAATAGAGTCTATAAGATCAAAGATAAAAACTCCTCAATAGGTGACAAGAGGAATGGACTCAATAGTTTGCCCAATAGTTTGGTTAGAGTAGATGAATTTAACCTGTTCCAGAATGGCCCATTTGAGCCACTATTTTTTTTTTCTTTTTTTTTGTTGGTCGTAAGGCTTTGAACTCTGGGCCTGGGCACTGTCCCTGCACTCTTCAGCTCAAGGCAATCCCTCTACCACTTGAGCCACAGCGCCACTTCTGGTTTTCTGGTAGTTAATTGGAGGTAAGTCTCACAGACTTTTCTGCTCAGGCTGGCTTTGAATCATGATCCTCAGATCTCAGCCTCCTGAGTAGCTATGATTACAGATGTGAGTGTTTTTTGTTTTGTTTTGGTTTGGTTTTGTTTTTTGTTGAGACTGGGAATTGCTATGTAGTCTATGATAGCCTCAGACTCATAATCCTTCTGTTGAGACTCCAGGTATTGCCTACATACCTGTTCTTGGTGTGATCTGAGCCAATTAAGAAGCGCTGGCTATGGGCTGGGAAGGTGGCTCAGTGGTAGAGCGCATGCCTTGCATGCCAGAGGCCCTGGGTTCGATTCCTCAGCACCACATAAGCAAAAAGAAAAAAGCCGGAAGTGGCGCCAGAGGCCCTGGGTTCGATTCCTCAGCACCACATAAGCAAAAAGAAAAAAGCCGGAAGTGGCGCTGTGGCTCAAGTGGTAGAGCGCTAGCCTTGAGCTGAAGAGTTGAGGGACAGCGCCCAGGCCCAGAGTTCAGGCCCCATGACCGGACCCAAAAAAATAAAAAAAAAATTAAAAAAAAAAAGAAGCGCTGGCTAAAGATCAAATGTTAAGAATCAATTCATCTTAGAAATCTTAGAAATCAAGTCACTTTGTTAACTGTGGATAAATCTTCTAACTACTCTTTTTTTCTTTTTTTTTTTTTTCGGGGGGGGGATCTGGTCATGGGGCCTGAACTCTGGGCCTGGACGCTGTCCCTCAGCTCTTCAGCTCAAGTCTAGCACTCTACCACTTGAGCCACAGCACCACTTCTGGCTTTTTTTTTTGCTTATGTGGTACTGAGGAATCGAACCCAGGGCTTCATTCATGCAAGGCAAGCGCTCTACCACTGAGCCACCTTCCCAGCCCTCTAACTACTCTTAATGTTAAAATGAATGAAGATGCTAGACTAGAATTAGGCTAGAATTCTTTAACTGTATATGTCCTGTTATAAGGTTTGAGATCTTGCTTGGCTTTTTTTGCTCACAGCTGGCACTATACTACCTGAACTACACCTCCAACTTGAACTTTTTGCTAATTGGTTATAAGAATTACCTGGATTTATCTGCCTGGGCTGGCTTTGAATTGTGATCCTCAGATCTCAGCCTTTGAATAGCTAGAATTATAGACACATGTCACCAGCATCTGGCCCTTAACTGAATCTTTCAATGACTACTCCTAAGTGGCTTTTTGTTTGTTTTTTTTTTTTTTTTGCAAGACATGGGGCTCGAACTCAGAGCCTGGGCACCCTCCCGGGGCTCTTTTGCTCAAGGCTAGCACTCTACCATTTGAATCACATGTCCACTTCCAGGTTTTTTGGTGGTTAACTGGTGTCTTGCACTTCAAACTGTGATCCTCAGATATCAGCCTCCTGAGAAGTGTAATTATAGGATGAGCCATGAGCACCCAGCTTCAATTATTTTTTTTTTTTTTTTATTGTAAAGCTACTATACAGAGGGTCACAGTTACATGAGTGAGGTTATGAGTACACTTCCTCTTGAACATTGTTACCCCCTCCATTGTTTTCCCCCTACCATCCCCTCCCTCCCTCCCTTCCCCGAGGTTCTTTTTTTTTTTTTTTTTTTTTTGATTGTGATTAAATGATTACATAATTTCAAAGTCACAAGTTCATTCTAACTTCCCTGGAGCAAATTGTCTACCACAGTCTGTAATATATAACAGTGTTCACATGTTATATACCATATTTGTGATCAGCAGCATGAGGATATTTAGTAGTGGTTCAACATTTTCTTCTAGTCTAAAATGCTTTGCTGAGTGCTGTTGCTGTATCATGTCTATAATCCTAACTACTTAGAAGGCAGAGATTTGAGAATCATGGTTCCAACTGAGCCTAGGCAAACAAATCTGAGACTCATTTCCCTATAACCAAATGAAAGCCAGAGAGTACAGGCATGGCTCAAGTAGTACAGTGCCAGCTGTGAGTGCAAGAAGAGCAAGAGCGCAAAGCCCTGAGTTCAAGCCCTAGTACTAGAGATAAAAAGATAGACAGGTAGACTGATAGCTTTAATGCTGTGATTATCAGACAGGAAAGAAATTAGATGTGAAGAAAATAAACCTCGGGGCTGGGAAGGTGGCTCAGTGGTAGAGCGCTTGCCTTGCATGCCTGAGGCCCTGGGTTCGATTCCTCAGCACCACATAAGTAAAAAGAAAAAAAAAGCCGGAAGTGGCACTGTGGCTCAAGTGGTAGAGCGCTAGCCTTGAGCTGAAGAGCTGAGGGACAGCGCCCAGGCCCAGAGTTCAGGCCCCACAACTGGACCCAAAAAAAAAAAGAAAAAAGAAAAGAAACCTCTTGGGTTTTTTTTTGAGAAACTTTTTCAAAGTATATAATTGTGAAAGGAGCTTCCTTCCAAATAGAAGAGCCTAAAAAATAATATTCTTTCTCATCATAATTACTAGGAGCTGGCAGAATCAGTACCTGTTTGATGATCTTGGTTTCATTTTCATCCTCAAGAAGAAAAATGGGGAAACTAAAGTCTTCATAAGCCAAGCCATTACCCAAAGAGTTCCATAGTGTTTCTTTACAGTGAGCAAACTCTGGCCCATAAGAGTTGGAGTAAACACCTGAAATGTGGAAAAGGAAGTGAGGGAGATAGGTTAGAGGATATCAAGCACTTAAGTAACAGGTGAAGGAGAAAGATTAAATATTAGAGGATTGGGACTAAGTTCAAAAATGTAAACATGAATCTATCATCAGTCACATTAAAATAAAGCTACCGGTTATTGGGAGAAACCTAGGCTGGCAGATTAGGCATCTGGGTGGGTGACATGAAGTAATAACACAAAAGAAGGGGAAAAAGGGGGGAGGGGGAAAGGAAAGAGCCGCAAGGTCATAAGAAACCCTATACAGCTGAAGGCATGGATCAAATGGTAGAGTACCTACAAACCAAGTGCAATGCCCTGAGTTCAAACCCAGTACTGCCAAAAAAGAAACAAAACAACAAAACAAAATAAATGGAAGGAAGGAAAAAAAGGAAGGAAGGAAAAGCAACTCTGTTTTCTGTTTGGGAGTTAGCTGTTTACAACACATGACACCCACAGATACAGATGATCCACCCTCCTTCCCTCCCTCCCTCCCTACACACACACACACACACACATACACACAAATACACTTTTAAGACTGAAGCAACAATAAACCCTGCACAACAGTAGCTTCTTCTGATCCTTTGGGGCTCTTACCAAACCCATCATTTGGGCACTGCACGCTAGGAGAGAAGCCTATGGTAGAATTGGGCTTGGAAAAAGTCACTGCGAGACCAGCAATTCGGCTGGTTCTCCCTTTCAGCTTTTCCATTATATCCCTGAAATAGAAGGAATGCCATGAGAGAAGACAGAAGGTATCAGCCAAATGCCCTGGTCTCCTCCCCATGCAAATGAATAGACAATTAGGGACTGGAACTATCCACTCACTCTTTCCCTTTCTGGTCTCTAACTTCTGAGTCTGGATGAGTTCAGGGTTTAATCTCATCTACTTTGTTCTTGAGTAAAACCAAGACCTTTGGCATCCCTCCCTGAGATCCTTACTCTACTATTAAGGTTTCTAAGATGATTCCCTTTGATGGTACTTCTTCCCTTATGAACGCCAACCCTGCCACCATGCCCCCTGACCAGACTAAGGCTGCTATACTTCCAAGTATGAGAACTGTTCATGGAATTACTCTTTCTTTGGCACATCCAGTTCTTACCTGTTAAAGAGCTTGCCATCCAGCAGAACCATGTAAGGGGGATTGGGGCCATCTGTCAACACCCATTGCAGGTCCTCTTCTTTCTCCACTACATGGATAACTCCTGTGTCCCCATTAATTGAAGCTGCCAAGATAGAATGGGTCAAATTAAAGCTCCCACAGGTGACAATTCTGACTTTGTCTCCCTGCTTCTACAGATCTTTTGCCCTTAAATTGCCTGAACTTGGAGGACTGAATTGTCCCTAGCTCCACTGAAAAGAAGAACAGGAGGACAAAAGATCCCAAGAGAACCCAAGAGGTCTTGATGCCAGAAAGGTTCTTTGGTCTTTACATTCCCTTCCATTTCAACCACTTCATTTAACAATATACACAATGGAAGTGGCGCTGTAGCTCAAGTGGTAGAGCGCTCACCTTGAGCTGAAGAGCTGAGGGACAGCGCTCAGGCCCAGAGTTCTAGCCCCACAACCAAAAAAAAAAAAAAGAACAATATACACAAGACTCTAGAACAGTAGACGTTCAAATTTCCAAACCTGTATCTTCTCCAGGAAATATCAAGCTTAGACTTCTTCCCCCTCCCCCTTTTTTTTTGTCAGTCATGGGGTTTGAACTCTGGGCCTGGGCGCTGTCCCTCAGCTCTTCAGCTCAAGGCAGGTGCTCTACCACTTGAGCCACAGTGCTTCTTCTGGTTTTCTGGTGGTTTATTGGAGATTAGAGTCTCTCGGACTTACTTTCCTTCCCAGGCTGGCTTTGAACCACGATCCTCAGATCTCAGTCTCCTGAGTAGCTAGGATTACAGGCATGTGCCACTGGCACCCAGCAGACATCTTCCTTTTTAAAGTGTATAGATCTTCTAGCCTCAGTATAATCATTCCTTTGCTTTAGTTATGAACAACTTTACTTGTTCCTGGCTAATTTCAGGTAAAATTAAGAACTTTAAGGTTTCTAGAACACAGCTTCCCATCTAACACATCTTGAATGGATTAGAGATGTATTGATAATTGCTCTCCTTTCTTTGTAAGGTCATTTGCTGCCAGAAATAGACTCTTTATCTCAGGATGCCTTACAAATTGCATCCATTTCAATATGTGCCAGGGTGCCACAAAAGACCATTTCTTTTTTTTTTTTGGTCGGTTGTGAGGCTTGAACTCTGAGCCTGGGCACTGTCCCTCAGCTCTTCAGCTCAAGGCAAGCACTCGACCATTTGAACCACAGTGCCACTTCCAGCTTTTTCTGCTTATGTGGTGCTGAGGAATTGAACCCAGGGCCTCATGCATACGAGGCAAGTACTCTACCACTGAGCTACCTTCCCAGCCCACAAAGACCATTTCTATGTATCTTATAATGTGACAAAGATTGGGAACACTAATTTATGGGACAGATAGTTAAGAATGTCTACAATTGTACACAATTGGAGGCAGCTGGTAATATTCCTCAGCTTCCCAAGGGATCTATAGAGAACTAGGATCTCTTTGCCAGTCTATTCTCCATTGAAGATGAATGTGTTGTTCATCAATTATTTTAGAACAGTAGTTTTCAGCCCTGACTGCATCTTGTGGATTTTTTTCCCCTTTTTCTCTTTTTTTTCTTCATTGTAGTGGGGAGTGAATGCAAGATATCATATATGCTAAACATACAATACCCTTAATCCCCAGAGTCTTAAAAAATAGATGCTTGGGCTGGGCACTGGAGGCTCATGCCTGTAATCCTAGATACTCAGGAGGCTGAGGTCTGAGGATCAAAGCCATCCCAGGCAGGAAAGTCGGTGAGACACTTATCTCCAATAAACCACAGAAAACAGGAAACTTCAGGAAGGAACAGTTCACAGAACAAGAAAAGACATATAGCTGTCTTTGAGCATTTTAAGGATCCAACAGAAGTAGGGCATTATAACCAGAAAACAAAATCTGGATCTCATTTTTTTTCCCTTAAGGCCAGCCACATTAATTAAAAAGGGCATAGTCTGCGAAGAATGGATTGATATGAGGAAGTAGGACTTAGAAGTAAGTAGGTTGAAAAGGAACAAGATCTTAATGAGGAAGTATCCATAGTCCAGCTCCTCCCTTCTTGTTTCTCTGTATTAGCACTAGGCTTTATATCTAGAGACTATTGCTTTGCTTCCCATAGGGCTTCTGGAAGACTATCTAGTAGGAACACTCATTACCAAAGGGAATTTTTCAGCTCCAGGAGGATGAGATCCTGGCTTCTTGCACTTATGAGGTTTTAACAAATCTGCCAATCTGATCTCAGCCCATTGTGGATCTGGTTCTCTTTCATCTACAAATTCAATTTAAAAACTAAATCTTCAAAAAACTTTGAGACTGTTTAGAACCATTCAACTTACACCTAGTGTTTCTTGTAGCAGGGTCATGGAGCAATCAACATACAGTATAGCTAAAATGACAGATAAACTATTACCTTTCTGAGCAATTACCTTACTTCCAGTAACTATTTCTTCTTAACAAGTTGAACAGATTCAGGTAATCACATAGTACTGCTGAGGCCATGCTATATATTTGTTATCATCAATGACCATATTAAAAGACATTTTAATGCTGGATGTGGTAGCTGATTCTATAATTCAGCACTTAGGAATTTGAAGCAGGAGGATAACAGGTTTGTGACCAACCTAGGCTATATTGTAAGACTCTGTCTTGAAAAAACCAAAACAAGCAAATAAACAAAAAGTCAAGACTGTTTTGGCAAGGCTATTCCAAACACTATTTATTACAGGAATAATCTGAAATTCAAAGGTGACCAATTTGATGATGAAAAAGCCAAGATCAGATTCTAAGTTTCCAGTTTACTTGCAAAATTATACTTTGACAGAACTACTGTCTATGGAAAATGAAAATCTCAACACAGTAGCCTAAATAGAAAGCAAACTAGGATTCAGCCTTCACAACTTTTTCCCCTCCTCTATAAGCTTCATAGTTTTTACCCCAAGATATCATGGAACACTGTTTTGGAACACTTTTACAAAGCCCAAAAATGCATCCAATCTGGCCACTGGTGACTCATGCTGTAATCCTAGCTACTCAGGAGGCTGAGATCTGGGGATCATGGTTCAAAGACAGTCTAGGCAAGAAAGTATATGAAACTCTTATCTCCAAGTAACCACTAGAAAACCAGAAGTGGCACTGTGACTCAGCTCACACCTGTAATCCTAGCTACTCAGGAGGCTGAGAGGAGGTCAAAGCCGGGGCAGGAAAGTCCCTGAGACTCTCATCTCCAATAAACCACTAGAAAACTGGAAGTGGTGCTGTGGCTCAAGTAGTAGAGCACTTGCCTTGAACTGAAGAGTGCAGGGACAGCACCCAAGCCCAGAGTTCAAGCCCAGTGACTGACAAAAAAAAAAAAAGAAAGAAAGAAAAGTGCACAAATGCTATGCTCTTGCAACTAACTATACAGAGTTTTCAATGCTTTCTATGAATTGCACCTACTAAATGAAGCTTAAACTCTGAGTTCAAATGCAAGCACTAAAAAAAATAGAAAAATCCAGGTATGGTGACTGAGGCCTATAATTCTAGCATTCAGGAAGCTACAACAGGAGCCTATTAGATTTGAGACCAGCCTGGAATGCAAAACATACAGCAAAACCCTTCAAAAGGTGGCTCACACCTGTAATCCTAACTACTCAGGAGGCTGAGATCTGAGGATCATGGTTCAAAGCCAGCCCAGGCAGGAAAGTCCCTGAGACTCTTGTCTCCAATAAAGCACTAGAAAACCATAAGTGGCACTGTGGTTCAAGCGGTGGAGCACTCACCTTGAGCTGAAGAGTGCAGGGACAGCGCCCAAGCCCAGAGTTCAAGCCCCATGTCCGACCAAAAAAAAAAGCCAGGCTGGGTGCCTGTGACTCACTCCTGTGATCTTAGCTACTCAGGAGACTGAGATCTGAGGATCACAGTTCAAAGCCAGGCTGGGCAGGAAAGTCCGTGAGACTCTTATCTCCAATAAACCACTAGAAAACTGGAAGTGGCACTGTGACTCAAGTGGTAGAGCACTCCCCTGAGCTAAGAGTGCAGGGACAGCACCCAAGCCCAGAGTTCAAGCCCCACAACTGACGAAAGAAAAAAAGCCCCATTTTACATTTTACTTCTATTTTTACAAAGTGCAGGTAATAACGATCTATAGATAGTATGATCTTGGGAAAATTATTTATTTTCTCTAAGCCTCATGATATACAATATTAAAGGAGATGTTGTGGGGGTTAAATGAGAAGACACACGTCAAACAACTTAATATACACCATTTACTAAATATTAACTCTTGTTTATTATTCTTGGTTTGGCAGATGGTTCTCTATAATCTCCTACTCACATAATCTAATTTGAGGGCCAAGACTTACAAGCAGAACAAGGATCTTTTTTAGTATCACCATTCAGACTGAAATATTAATGCCCACAAACACAAATCCCAAATTCAACTTACACTGGCAGCCAATTTGGTGAGTGGCATTAAGCAGACGGACACAGGGAGCTGTTTTATTTAAGGGAATGTAGATTTTTCTCTCCACTGAGTTTCCTCCACACAAACCTGGTAAGAAATGTTAGAAGAAATTACTGAACAAGACGCTAGCATCTATCATGACATTAACTTGATTCATAGCACATCATTCAATACCATACTTTTTTTTTGGGGGGGGGGGGAAGGGCTGATATTTGGAGTTTGAACTTAGGGCCATGAGCTTGCTTGACTGGCTAGCATTCTACCACTTAAGCCTTGCTACCTAGCTTTTTGCTGGTTATTTTGGAGATGGAGTCTCAAAGACTCTTCTGCCAGCTGGCTTCAAATATGACAGTTTCCCCCCCGCCCCCACAGCCCCTGATTTCAGCCACTAGAGTAACTAGGACTACAAACATATGCCATGGGGTCCTGTGCCTTATAAAATGTCCATTCGTTTAATTTTTTGGACAGTTTTTTGAAAGATAAATGCTTAAGAGTATCCACCTATGTATCTCAGAAGGTTTAAATTCCACAAGGAGAAACTACAGTTAAAAGAGATGAACATGATTTGTCCAAAGAAAGGTGTTTGTCCTTATATGTGCTTTATATTGAATGTACACTTTTGGCTCTTGCTTAGTGTTTTTGCCCAAAGCTGGTACTCTCTCTTTTTTTTTTTTTGTTTTGGGTCCAGTCGTGGGGCCTGAACTCTGGGCCTGGTCGCTGTCCCTCAGCTCTTCAGCTAAAGGCTAGCACTTTACCACTTGAGCCATAGCACCACTTCCGGCTTTTTTCTTTTTGCTTATGTGGTGCTGAGGAATCGAACCCAGGGCCTCAGGCATGCAAGGCAAGTGCTCTATCACTGAGCCACCTTCCCAGCCCGTCTGTGAGACTCTTATCTCAGAAAACTGTAAGTGGAACTGTGGCTCAAAGTGGAAGAGTGCTTGCCTTGAGTAAAAAAGGTCAAGGACAGTACCCAGGCCCCGAGTTGTAACTCCACATTTAACCATTAAAAAAAAAAAAGAAAAAAAAGAAAAGTGCTGGCCCAAAAATATAAATTACCAAAGCAAACAAATAAATATACCTAAAACTTTTGCAGGGAATATGAACAAAATGGGGAGAAACCTTATGCCACCACACACCTGTTCAGTTATACATCTCCAGTAGGTCATTGGTGTATACCTACAATGTGAGACGGCTAGTTTCTCCCTGGGTGGTGTTTTTTTCTTTTTAATGTGAATTTTGGTAAAGAAATAGTCATAATTAAATCATAAGTAAATGCAGGCTTGTTACATTTTAGTGCTCAATCACAAAAAGAAAAGGGAAAAAAAAAAGCTAAAGTTCCTTGAGTCACTACAGTTTTAGCCTACCTCAGTTTCACTTTACCGAGGAAAGAAACTGAGATCTGACATGAGTTTATGATGGGATTAACAGAAGACGAAATGATAACTCTATATTTTCAGGCTCTCACACCACCCACAAACAAGATTGTTTCAGTCTCAAAAAGCCTAAATGCGGGGAAGGAAGCTCAACAAGCCTACATGCGGGGAAGGAAGCTCAACTTTCACACCTGTCCCTTTCGATTACGGGTGGGGTAGCTAGGGCTCTGGGGAAAAGCAGGCTTCGGGTGAAGTGGTTGAGAAGTCAGGCTGGAAATCCAGTAATAAGTCTGGAAGTGGGAGGGAAGCGTTCCAACCTGCTGCCGGGTGGAAGGGACGAAGAAGGTCCAGGCTAAAAGGGGGGAACTTCTGTCGTGGGAACGAAAGAGAAAGAGCATTTACAGGTTGGGGGGACAGAGGGGCAGCGGGGACCAGAAGGGAAACGCCGCCGTCGCTCGCGGGCGGGCAGAGCCGGAGGTACCCCTTACAGACCGGAGCCCACCGGAGGGGGAGCCTCACCTGCCAGTACCACGGAGAAAGACAGAAGGCGAAGAAGACCCCGACTTCCTGGGTGAGGCCCTGAGCCGCCCCCAGCCGTGGCCATCTTGACGCTCCGCTGGGCGGAAGTCTCAGTTCTCTCCAAGTCCAGCAGCGGCCTCTCTAGGATTCCACCAGCGCCGTCTCTGTGGCTTCTAGCTGTAAAGACCGGAAGTCTTTGTCTGAGTCGCTTCCGGGTGCCGAGGCTCTCGGTCGCTGACGTGGAAGTGCCTCGCAGGCCTGCGGGGAGTGGTGTGTAGCAGCCGGTGGTCTTCGAGCGCCGGAGCCCGGAGGACTGAACGATGCTCACCAAATTCGAGACCAAGAGCGCGCGGGTCAAAGGTAGTGGAGCTGAAAAAGGGAAACTTGGAGGTTGTCTGTCAGGGGCGGCCCTGTCACCGGGAGAGGGAATGGATGGATTTAACGGGCAGAACTGGGCCCGGAGGACCAGCCGAGGGAAAGACGCGAGGGAGGGAGGGAGGGAGGGAGGGAGGGAAGGAGGGAGGGAGGGGAGCTAGGGTTGGCGGTCGTCGCTGCGCTCCTCTCCTGTGTGTGCTCGGGGGCTTTGATGTACCCGTGTGGTGATAGCTGCACTGCCGCGGATCCGTAGGCCCGCTTCCTATTCTTTTCCTTCCTCTCACCTCTCTTGGGAACACACGGCTTTTTTTCTTTTTTTTCCTCTTCCCACGGTCCGGTGACCTATTGGGTGTCTATAATGAACGGCCCTGAGCAGTTGAGTGTCAACCTGTGTCACAGAGATTAACACAGCCTATCTCATAGTGTGACCCTGCCTCAAAAAACAGACAAAAACAAAACAGAGCGTTTCAGGTTTTTTTTTTTTTCCCCTCCAGTTTTTGGTTTTCAGAAAAAACTAATGAAGATACTTCTACACACAATCTAGGCAATTAGACTTCAGGCCTGAAATGGGGTGGATCAAAAATACAATACGTACATTTATCCCTCTGATAGATACCTAAATGTAAAAACACTGTCAATATACAGTCTCATCATGTTTTTTATACACTTTGTTCAGGCAAACTAACACAGACCATAATCAATTGTTTTGCTTTATGAATCTAAGCGCTCACCTTTATTTTGCATTTATTTGCCTATTTGTCTCTATGATAACACTCTTTTATATGAGCCCTCAAGTATTCTGACATCTTTTTTCTTCCTTTCTAAATTAGACAAGAACTCAAGGGAAAAAAAGACTCCTTTCCACATCCAGGTCCCAGAAATCCTTAATTGTACCTTTTTTTTTTGGGGGGGGGGGTCCGGTCATGGGGCCTGAACTCTGGACCTGGGCGCTGTCCCTCAGCTCTTCAGCTCACGGCTAGTGCTCTACCACTTGAGCCACAGCACCACTTCCGGCTTTTTTCTTTTTACTTATGTGGTGCTGAGGAATCGAACCCAGGGCCTCAGGCATAGCAAGGCAAGCGCTCTACCGCTGAGCCAACTTCCCAGCCGCATTTAATTGTATCTTTTATGAGTAAGATTGTCATGAGATTTGGGAACATCAAAATATAATCTCATAGTAATAGTATTTTCCAGGTTTTGACTAAGAATCTGGTCAGGCACTGTAGTATAAAAACACTTGCGGGGCTGGGAAGGTGGCTCAGTGATAGAGCGCTTGCCTTGCATGCCTGAGGCCCTGGGTTCCATTCCTCAGCACCACATAAGCAAAAAGAAAAAAGCCGGAAGTGGCGCTGTGGCTCAAGTGGTAGAGTGCTAGCCTTGAGCTGAAGAGCTGAGGGACAGGGCCCAGGCCCAGAGTTCAGACCCCACAACGGGACCCAAAAATAAATAAATAAATAAGTAAATAAATGATAAAAACACTTGCCAGCTAGCTGGTAGTGGCTCATATCTGTAATCCTAGCTACTCAGGAGACTAAGATCTGAGGATTTCAGTTCAAAGCCAGCCCTGGCAGAGAAGCCTATTAGACTCTTATCTCCAATTAACCAGCAAAAGTCAGAAGTAGATATATTACTCGAGTGGTAGAGCAACAGCCTTGAGTGAAAAAAATCCAAGCAAGAGCTCAAGGCTGTGAATTCAAACTTCAGTACAGCACAAATAAATTAAATAACACTTTATATAAAATTTCTTACCTTAATTCTCTCTATAAGAGAATGTTAATTATCATTTTAAAGAACAGAAAGTAGACATTTAGAGATGTTGCCTAAGATTGTTGATAGCATTCCAAAGCAAGCCACTTGACTCCGAAGAGTAAGTTCTAAATCACTTCATTACTCAGATGTACTTTTCCCCCAGACTTCAGTAGACTGCCTATACTTTTCTCATTTTGACATTATTTTAGTCACTTGCCCTCTAAATGTTACTAAGAAGTTTTTTTTGTTATCTGAAGTTCAAATCTAATAAAGAGCATCCAGTATCTTATCTGGCAACTATCAATTTGAGACCTCATTGCGGCTCCAAGCTTCAAATATTTTATTCCCAAGCAGGCAATAAAGTCCAGTGGAAGCAATGGGTACTGAGATAGTGCTGAGTTGCGAGTGCTTGTTTCTAAAATAGTTGCTGTGACAGAGCATCCTATAAACACCTCAGATAAGTATAACAGTAATAGTGGTTCTAAATTAGATCTAGAATAAAGGCTGTTTCTAAATTAGATCTAGAATAAAGGCTGTTGTCAACCCACTATAACAAAACTTAAAACAAGCTTCACACTGATCAGTAGAGTAAGTAACTTAACTTTATTCTAGAACAAAGGCCACACATTTAAAGGAATTCAAGCCTAGTACCTAACTATAAATTTTACATCTGGCATCAAATGAAAAGTCATTAAGCGTATTGAATGAAAATGGGAAAATGTGTTGTTGTTTTTTTTAAATTGTAATTGATAGTGACATTGTGGGCCTTACTTAGTTTTAGTTCATTGTATCACCTTCTGGTTTTCTTTTGTTTCACTCCCAGGGCTCAGTTTTCACCCCAAAAGACCCTGGATCTTGACCAGCTTACATAATGGAGTAATACAGTTATGGGACTATCGAATGTGCACCCTCATTGACAAGTTTGATGAACATGATGGTAAGATAGTTTCTAGAAGGGTGTAAATGAGATGGGGTGTTTACTGTCTCCTAGGACAGACAATCTTCTTGTCTGTTTAACAGGATTCCTTTAAGATTAAAGAATGTGAAAGAGGTAAAACTGAAAAATCCTGACTGAATCATCTTAAAAGATTAGAAAGAATAACTCCTTGTAACATGTGTTGCCTGCTTTTTCTTCCAGGTCCAGTGCGAGGCATTGACTTCCATAAACAGCAGCCACTGTTTGTCTCTGGAGGAGATGACTATAAGATTAAGGTACAGAGGGTCTGTCGTGATTGGGAATATCAGAACACAAAGGTGTGTTAAATTTAGGAATTATGGAAGGAACTGAAAGACAAGACAGCTCATTCATTCAGAGTTTAGGCTTTTTAACAACATTATCCAACAAATGTGTTGAATACTGCTGTGTAAATATGCATAGACTTTTTTCATTTCTGGAAATTCAAAAGATAAGTGATTTCTCAAAGAGCTCTTCTTCTAAAACAGAATGTCAATACATATCAAACAATAATAGCATGTACTCTGGGTGCCAGTGGCTCACACCTGTAATCCTAGCTACTCAGGAGACTTGAGTTCTGAGGATCACGTTCAAAGCCAGCCTGGGCAGGAAAGTCTGTGAGACTTATCTCCAGTTAACCACCAGAAAAATGGAAGTAGTGCTATGGCTTAAGTGGTAGAATGCATGCCTTGAGCTGAAGAGCTCAAGGACAGTGCCCAGCCCAGAGTTCAAGCCCCATGACGGACAAATAATAATGATGATGGCATATACAACTTGGTATTATATTAGGTATTCTTAGTGAAACAAGAAAGGATAGTCCAGGTTCAGAAATAGACATACAATTAAAAACTCCAATCATTTTATGGAGATAATACTTGGAGAAAAGTTAGAGAAAAAGCAGAAGTTAAGAGGGGACAGATCATCAATATCTGCTTGCAATACTCAGGAATTCTTCTCAGGCTTTCATACAATTATGGAATTCTTAGAAGGGTTTAAGTATATATAAGAATAAAGGGACTGGAGCTACTCCAGTCCTTTTATTATGAAATAACCTCCATATCTTCTTTCCCCCACATCTCCCACCTAGGTCCTTACTAAGCAAGCATTCTGTCAATGAGTACATCCCCAATCCTAAATAAGATGATTTTCATATTTTTGCTTAAGTTCATGGGTAGAAGAGTAGTTTTTTTTCTTAATGCTGAGGATTGAACTCAAGGCCTCTCATTTATTCTAGGAAATTGCTGTAATAGGGATTTCATTAATTAGAAAAAGAAAATCAAGAGGATGTAGTATGAGTAGTAAATTTTATCTTGGCTCTGATGAATTTGAAGTAAATGAGACACAATCTAGTGGAAGCAATGTCAACAGGAAAGTGGTAACTTTAGTAGAAGATGTCACTCAGAAAGTAGGTTGAATAAAGAATACAGACTGTCTAAAGTTTAACTAGAATTACTGTAGGAAGGAGTGATTTGAGAGGCTGGAAGTAAACAAAAGAGAAGCAGAAACCTCTAGGATGCCAAGGAAGAAGAGAATTTGGGGAAAAGAAAGAGGTCAGGATGATAATGAAAAGTAACATTTAGATTGCCAGTATATAAACTCAAGTTCTCGTTGAAAAATCTGAGCCTTTATAAAGCCTAAGATCCTTTTTTTTTTTTTTTTTTTTGGTGGGGGTGGGGGGGGTCTGGTCGTGGTGCCTGAACTCTGGGCCTGGGCGCTGTCCCTCAGCTCTTCAGCTCAAGGCTAGTGCTCTACCACTTGAGCCACAGCACCCCTTCCAGCTTTTTTCTTTTTGCTTATGTGGTGCTGAGGAATCGAACGCAGGGCCTCATGCATGCAAGGCAAGCGCTCTACCACTGAGCCACCTTCCCAGCCCAAAGCCTAAGATCCTTTTATCCTGTTTCTTAGTTGGATTTCTGTTTTTGCAGGTTTGGAATTACAAGCTTCGCCGCTGTCTCTTCACATTGCTTGGACACTTGGATTATATTCGTACCACGTTTTTTCATCATGTAAGTAGCCAGGATGTCTCCTAGTTACCTGTGCTTTGGTAATAAGTTATATTTTTGGTATGACTCTCTTGGGATCT